ATGTGAACGCTGACTGATAAGTAATACCTAACATAAACAGAGATCAAGAAAATTTAGAGGATTCACATTAGATTTGGAACTACGAGGCTTTTTCAGCTAATTTCACTTTTAGGTACCCGAAGTTAAGCAAATTATTTTCACTTTGTCCTTGCATCAAGGAAAAAGGAACGAAAAGAAAAAAACAAAGTCTAGAGGTCGGTTTTGGAATTGAAACCTGTTTTCATAGGCCAAGAAATCGAGTCTCTTGAGGGATTTTTGGCACTTGGATGGGTATTTGCCTCATCAACCAAATCAAGGCGGAGAGTCCATTTAATACTAGAACAGGTATATTCTCAAAACACAATTACTTTCTTTATGTAGAGTGAAAGAGAGAGAACAGTGAAATTATGTTTACTAGAGAGATTGAAATGATAAATTCAAATTTTGTGATCTTTTTGAGTTGTTTTTCTGAAACTAAGAATTCATGTCCTTTGCATTTTCTGGTTTGTCATATCATTTGCCTTCAAAGGTAATAGGATACCTGAGACTTCTAATGCTGCATAGTATACTATTTCTTCATTGATTTTAATTGGTGGCAACTAATTTCTTCTACACATTGCATACTACATATAACACGTGAAAAGAAAATTCTACCACCAGAGGAGGTTTGTGTACTTGAAGAGGAAATTGTTATGCTTCGAACTCTGAAATATTTAAGGTTCATTTTGAAGATATAATATGAATAACTATATTTCTCCCTTTTTTAACAACTCAAATTTTTGGACGAGTCTGTAGTTTTAAATTATACAATTGTTCTATGTTTAATTCAAAACTGTTTCCTACTTATGAAAATTCTACTTTTCAACCCTTTGATGAAAAAGTAAATCTAGTGCGGGTGTGGTATGCAAGTGAGGACTGTGAACCCTATTTTTGATGTACTTGTATGCTTTTTGTGAAATTCACGTGATACTTGAAATTGAAAGCCTTGAATATATTGTAATTGTAGTCTGTATAATTTGTATTACTATGGCTTTAGGTTTATAGCGTGTCATTTAGGCTTAAACAATTTTTTCACCTTGAAGTGCCTATTAGGGTTTGAGGCTTTGCGTTTAGCTCTTTGCGAAATTGGATAAAAAACTTTCTAATCTATTTAAAATAGAAATATTCAATTTGACCAAAGAATTGTCTATGTTGACTTATAGATTTCAATAGTGAACTTGTGATCTTTTGGTGATGATTAGGGCTTTCTCGTTGTGAATAAAAGAATTTGGGTCATTTTCAAAAACCTAGGCCTTCATTTCAAGGGGAGAAACCACAATCTATTTCAAGAACTACTAACGAGTATATTGACCAGATCCAAAAGGTAATCTATTCGTAAGTCTTGTAATCTGCATGATCACTGTATTTGTTGGTGTGTATGATTTTTCTAAATTGCAACTTCGCTTTAGTAGCACGTGGCTTTAGTAACAATGCTGGCACAAAAAACATGAACTGATGATTAAAAATCAGAGTTGGGCTAAAGTGAATGTTAGAATTTTGATTCCTAATGCTATCTTCTATCATGTGTAAGTGTAAAATAGTTTATATTTAATTTGAATAACTTTGTTTGATAGAATGATAGGTAAAATGTGTAATTGTTATTTCCCTAAGCTTAATGATCATGTTCATATTTGTATTAGCGTTTGATTTGATGATCATGTTCATATTTGTAATTTTTTATTAGCGTTTGATGTGAAATTTTTGTTTCAGGGTCGTGAGTTGTAAATCTTATGACAGTGGAATTCTCGAAGGTGTAACTCCACAGTTTTCGTAGAAATTCTACTTCTCAAGTAAATAATGGCTTGTCCTAACTTGTTATTGAAGAGATTGGAAATGTTTGAAGCCTTGTCGACTTATATAATTGTAGTCTGATCGGCTTATATGATTGCTTACTGTACAATGAACAATTACATAGGTGCACGTAGTAACTATATTCGAAACTATAATTGTGAGATGATTGAGATATTGTGTAATTGTTTTTTAGGTTAATCATTGGATATTAGATATACACTTCTATTTTATGCCTCCAAAATATGAGTCTGTTGCTCAAAAGAGGAAAATGAAACGAAATGAAATTGCATTAATTCAAAGTCAAGTAGGGGATATTAACAAGTACTTTAAAAGCAACAATGTGAATGCGTTGAATGAGGATGAAGATGAACTAGAGATTCAACATGCCCATGTTAATCAAGTAGATGATAAGGATGAAGAAGTGAGTCAACCTACCGATGCTAACGAAGTAGATGATAAGGAAGAAGAAGTGATGAAACTCGCCTCTAATAATGAAGAAGATGATAAGGAAGAAGAGGGTTGCTTTTCTCTAAATTTGGACGATCCCGAAAATTGGAAAATCATTGATCAAAGAACAAGGGATTACTTAGTTGAAAGTGGTCCAAAAAGAGTTGATGACATCTCGTTTCCGAAAGACTATATAAATAGACATTTCGATTCTTCACAATATAAGCGATTGCTACCAAATTGGCAAACAGTTGATAGAAGATGTCTAGTATATTCAGTGTCTATAGACATGATCTTCTACTTTTGTTGGAAGTTGTTTAAAACACCAATAAATGTGATCAAAGTTGGCCAACTAGGTAATGATGGATTCAAAGATTGGTATAATTTACATCGGTCTATTAAAAATCATGAAGGAAATGAGGAGTATTTACGTTGCATGACTAGCTGGATTGAATTGGAATATAGGCTTCGAACAAAAACAATAACTGATAAAAGCGTTGAATTGTTGATTGATGCTGAAAGAGAACATTGAAGACATGTATTAACAAGGATAATCGCTATTGTGAAAAGACTTACGAAAAATACCTTGTCATTTCGAGGAGATGATGAAAGGCTACATGTTCAGAACAATGGCCTATTTTTACTAATGGTGGAAATGGTTAGTGAATTTGATTCAGTAATGCAAGAGCACATTTGGCGAGCTAAAGCAAGAAAGATTCAATATACATATCTTGGCAAAGAAATTCAAACTCATAGTCTAAATCTAGCATTATGTGATATGGTAAACTGTTGTTCCAAAGCTGTATTTTTCTTCGGAGTGATACAACGCATCCACACATTTTTTTTCTCTTCTACCAAGCGATGGAAAATTTTCAAAGATAATGTACAAGTGTTGACAGTGAAGCCATTGTCACAGACACGCTGGGAAAGTCATGTTGAGATTGTGAAGCTTATAATGGAGAAAACTTCACAGATAAAAGATGCATTGCTTGATTTGGTAGAAAGTAATGAAGATCCTAAAGTGAAGAGTGAAGTCGAGTCGTTAGCAACACATGAACTTCAAAATTTTGAGTTTTGATTGGCATGATAATCTGGTACAGGTTGTTATATACAGTCAATATTGTGAGTAAATTTCTTCAAATCGAATCCATGGATATTGATTATGCTATCGACCTCTTGCAAGGACTTATTTCATTTCCTGAATAATATAGAGAAATTAGATTTGCTATTACCAAGGATGAAACTACAAAAAAGGCAAGCGAAATGGGAATTGAAGCTGTATTTACAAAAAATCGCATAATTCGAAGAAAAAGCAATTTGATGAAAGCGGTAGTGATGAGGTAAATCAATCAGCAGAAGAATCTTTTAGAGTTGAGTACTTTATTTTTATAATTGATCAAGCTCTATCTTCTTTGAGGACCCGATTTGAACAATTCAAACAATATGATGACACATTTGGATTTTTATTTAATTTGAAGAGGTTAAGGGGTGCAACTTTTTCAAGTTTGTTGAACTCTTGTATAAATCTTGAGAAATATCTTCAACATGATGGTCGTTCAGACATCAGTGGGAAAGATTTATGTTCGGAGTTACAAGTCTTGAGGTATTATATACCAAATGAAGCAACAAGAGCAATTAAAGTGCTACAATATTTGAAGACATTGAATATTTGTTTTCCAAATGCTTATATTGCTTACAAAATTTTGTTAACCATACCGGTTACAGTTGCATCTACGGAAAGAAGTTTCTCGAAATTGAAGTTGATCAATACCTATCTCCAATCAACTATGTCGCAAGAAAGATTAAAGGGGTTGACTATGTTATCAATAGAGAAAGAAATGGTTGAGCAGCTAAATTATTCAGATTTGATTGATATTTTTGCCTATAGAACAGCAAGACTAATAGTATTTAACTAATTGTTTCAAACATCGTTGGTTTTGATAGTTTATAATATAAATCTTTTCTATAAGATATCTGGTTGTTGTTTTAATGTTAATTTTTCAAGTTAGTAATGGGTCGCGTAATATATCGTTGAAGTTTGCATTTTTGTTAATTTCATCTGGGGGCCTAATTTTCAGACTTCACCTCAGGCCCCGAGAATCACAGGATTAGCTCTGTGCGGTAGGGTTTAGATCACAAATCTTATTAATTTGTGTCACCCATGCAGCTTCAGTTGTAGCTCTTGCTATTACCCAGAGTAAATTCTTCAGCACAAAGTCCTTGTATATTTCATTAAATAATTGACAGGTACGATGTTCAACATGTTCAAATAACTATTCAGGAGCTTGAACAAGCCCTTTCTGGTTATCATAAATGAAAACTCACCAGTGACTTTTAACAATGCTCAAATCATCTCTTAACATCTCCAAAAACCACCTCCAATTTTCACCATTCTCAACCTCTACTATGGCATATGCTACAGGATAAAACTCATTATTACCATCTACTCCTACTGCTATCAATAACTGGTCTCCTCTGTCATTTTTTCAAAAAACAGCTGTCCAACCCTATCACCCTTTTGCATCCACTCATAAATCCCACCTTCAGTGCTCCTAGACATATATACAATCTTTTAAACTACCCAACACAACCCTCTAATTGCGCAATTATACCAACATTTGTATGTTTTAGATGCTCACAATAATCCGACAAAATTTTGTAGTGGTCAACCATAGTGCCACGTAATATCTCTATTGCCAAATCTTTGGTTCAGTATTATTACTATTGAGGAGTATTTACGTTGCATGACTAGCTGGATTGAATTGGAATATAGGCTTCGAACAAAAACAATAACTGATAAAAGCGTTGAATTGTTGATTGATGCTGAAAGAGAACATTGAAGACATGTATTAACAAGGATAATCGCTATTGTGAAAAGACTTACGAAAAATACCTTGCCATTTCGAGGAGATGATGAAAGGCTACATGTTCAGAACAATGGCCTATTTTTACTAATGGTGGAAATGGTTAGTGAATTTGATTCAGTAATGCAAGAGCACATTTGGCGAGCTAAAGCAAGAAAGATTCAATATACATATCTTGGCAAAGAAATTCAAAATGAGTTGATACAGTTGTTGGCTAATGAGGTGAGAAGTTCAATTGTCAAGAAAGTTAAACATGCAAAATATTTTGCAGTTATACTTGATTGTACTGCAGATGCAAACCACGAGGAGCAAATGTCTTTAATTGTACGATTTGTAGATGATTCGGCAAACTTACCTACAGTTGAAGAACATTGGCTAGGATTTTTGAAGTTAGATGATACAAGGGGACTTGGACTTGCAACCGATTTTCAAAAGGCTTTGATAAAATTTGATCTCGATATTGATGACATTAGAGGGCAAGGGTATGACAACGGATCTAACATGAGTGGGAAGCACAAAGGTGTGTAAAGAAGAGTCCATGAAATGAATTCCCGAGCTTTCTATACTCCATGTGGCGCTCATAGTCTAAATCTAGCATTATGTGATATGGTGAACTGTTGTTCCAAAGCTGTATTTTTCTTCGGAGTGATACAACGCATCCACACATTGTTTTTCTCTTCTACCAAGCGATGGAAAATTTTCAAAGATAATGTACAAGTGTTGACAGTGAAGCCATTGTCACAGACACGCTGGGAAAGTCATGTTGAGATTGTGAAGCTTATAATGGAGAAAACTTCACAGATAAAAGATGCATTGCTTGATTTGGTAGAAAGTAATGAAGATCCTAAAGTGAAGAGTGAAGTCGAGTCGTTAGCAACACATGAACTTCAAAATTTTGAGTTTTGCTTGGCATGATAATCTGGTACAGGTTGTTATATACAGTCAATATTGTGAGTAAATTTCTTTAAATCGAATCCATGGATATTGATTATGCTATTGACCTCTTGCAAGGACTTATTTCATTTCCTGAATAATATAGAGAAATTAGATTTGCTATTACCAAGGATGAAGCTACAAAAAAGGCAAGCGAAATGGGAATTGAAGCTGTATTTACAAAAAATCGCATAATTCGAAGAAAAAGCAATTTGATGAAAGCGGTAGTGATGAGGTAAATCAATCAGCAGAAGAATCTTTTAGAGTTGAGTACTTTATTTTTATAATTGATCAAGCTCTATCTTCTTTGAGGACCCGATTTGAACGATTCAAACAATATGATGACACATTTGGATTTTTATTTAATTTGAAGAGGTTAAGGGGTGCAACTTTTTCAAGTTTGTTGAACTCTTGTATAAATCTTGAGAAATATCTTCAACATGATGGTCGTTCAGACATCAGTGGGAAAGATTTATGTTCGGAGTTACAAGTCTTGAGGTATTATATACCAAATGAAGCAACAAGAGCAATTAAAGTGCTACAATATTTGAAGACATTGAATATTTGTTTTCCAAATGCTTATATTGCTTACAAAATTTTGTTAACCATACCGGTTACAGTTGCATCTACGGAAAGAAGTTTCTCGAAATTGAAGTTGATCAATACCTATCTCCAATCAACTATGTCGCAAGAAAGATTAAAGGGGTTGACTATGTTATCAATAGAGAAAGAAATGGTTGAGCAGCTAAATTATTCAGATTTGATTGATATTTTTGCCTATAGAACAGCAAGACTAATAGTATTTAACTAATTGTTTCAAACATCGTTGGTTTTGATAGTTTATAATATAAATCTTTTCTATAAGATATCTGGTTGTTGTTTTAATGTTAATTTTTCAAGTTAGTAATGGGTCGCGTAATATATCGTTGAAGTTTGCATTTTCGTTAATTTCATCTGGGGGCCTAATTTTCAGACTTCACCT